ACAATTGTTGTATGCCGCCCAGAGTCACCTTGTGTGAGATGGGCAGCTATATAAATATGATAAATAAAATAAATACAATAAAATAAAATGCAGTAGTGGTTATACAGTAGAACCCTCTCCCTCCTACATACATTATAGTGACTAAAATGAACTAAAGATACCGTTATAAAAGTAATAATTCTGCCCTCTTAATAAATGGGACCATCTAGTCCAGCTGGTCTCAGAAGCTGAACAGGGCAGGCTTTGGTTAATATTTGGATGGGGGACATACAGGGAATTGCAGGGCTCTAGATTGGGACCACAGGAAGCATTCCAGAAAGAAGGCAATAGCAAATTACTTCCGTAAATGCTGCCAAGAAAATTCCACGGGAATCAAGCCTGACTCAAAGACATTGCTAATTTGTTGTTTCAAGGGATGTGCTTTTTGTCAATTGCTCTCTTAGAAAACTTGTTATGTCAGTGTTAGAAACTTAATATTAAATATTAGATTAATATGGGAAACTTGAGAATCGAGTGTCAGTCAATTGGTTGCTCTTACTCTGGATACTTGATTTGGAATAATCATATACAAAAGGAAGCCAGGATTAAAATCCTAGTTTAGGGGATAGGCAAGCCGTGAGAAAGTTGAGCCTACTGTTTTATGGTGACTCCAGATCCCCAAAATTTCTGAAGTTTGTCAAGGAGGACATAAATTTTTAAAGGAGTCTTCTATGTGCCCAAAGACAAACTTGCAGAAAACCATTATTTTTGCCATGATTAAGGTTATTTCTCATGTCATCTTGAGCTTTTTCATCACCCTGTGCTCTTGACTGGTCCTTTTTAGATAGTCCTTTTTAGTTTTGATGCAAGCACATGCAATTATTTACATACATTGTTTACATATATTATTTACCCACCCACCCTCTTGCTTTAGCAAGTGATCATGAGTTTACTTTCTACAAACAAAATGACTTTTTTTCCTTTTTACATGGAAGAAATTCAAACATGAGATTCCCTTATTTGTATTATGGAATGCTCTGCTCCAAAGTGAGTGCTCCCATATGTGGAGTGCAACTTTCTCGTCATTTGAGATGCTTGTACAGGCAGTCCTTGCTTGCTGACCACAAATCACCATGGTCGTTAAGCAAGACATCATGTGATTGCGACTTGTAATTTCATTTCTGCATTTTCCATTAATTCTGTTTGTTGGGAGCTGGTTGTGAAGCTTGCAAATGGCAATCCCATGACCGTGGGATGCTGTGACAGTCGTAAATGCATGCCAGTTGGAAAGCACCCAAATGGCAATCATGTGACCATGGGATGCTGTAATGGCCGTAAATGCGAGGATTGGTCACAAAGCTATCTTTTTTTCCAACCATCATAACTTTGAACAGTTGCTAAACAAGGCAGTTGGTAAGCAAGGACTACCTCTAAATTGAAAACAAGAGAGTGTTAAAGAAGCTGGATAGGCCCTATTTGTACCACAAATAACAATGAGTGGATCAGAGTTAAGAACTGACTGCCAACCACTTCCAGGATGGCTCAGGACAAAATATGCTCTAGAAACATTTGGATGAAGTAAAGATAGAAGGAAGAATGAAGTCAGCTTTCACAGTGGTATGATCTTGTGTTGATCTGGGGGAGATGGGTGGCATACAAATTTAATAAAAACTGACATACATACATACATACATACATACATAAACCTCCTTGTCTCTAGAAAGGAAAAGAAAGAGGGAAGAAGGGAGGGATTTTTCTATTATCGTATGGCAATAGGAGAAGGCTGAGAGCTAATGAAGTTTTAGGTGGAAGAAGGAAAACATGGAGTTAGTGGGAATGATGTGGAGACACCATGGGTGGATAAGGCTGGAGATGACTAGATGTGAAGGAGGAGAAAGTAGGGAGTCATACCCACCAAAGTATCCTTTATTTGAATATGCATAAAACCATGGTAGACATTTTGTGATGGTGCCCATGATACTTCTTAATATTTCAGTTATGGCCTCCAGCCCCAAAAGATTCAATTCCTCTGATGATCAAAGATTCAATAGGTTTTAAGTTTGTCTTCTAAGAAATCAGGACTGGGTCACAGGAATTCCTGTTTCCCAAGTAAATTCCCAAGTAAGCCTAATTTTTTTTTTCCAATTCCAAAGTAAGCCTTAGGTTTGCAAAGCTCAGGAGTTTATCCCAACATTGGATGATCCAATAGCCAATTGGATATTGGATCAAGAGTTATGACAGTGCAGCAGAATGGATGGTGGATCCCAGGCTGTCTTACATTAAGAACCATTTCTGCAATGCAAAGCACAGTATCCTTTTTAATCTGGTTCAGTTCCCAAAAATTGTATGGTCTGAATTACCACAGACCCTATTTTGCAGATTAGGAACTGGGCTAAGAATTGTAATTTACTTTCCCAGAACATCAGTCACTGTGCTTATAATGGAGCATTTTACTCAGTAATTTATGATTTTGCCAGTTTCTACTTTACCAGTTTCTGCTTTCTGAGCATCAGAATATCTTGCAGCATTCTTTTTTTCCCCCTACGATTAATTGATTTCTGTCATTTAGGATAGAAGGTTTTAATAATTATGGGATTTTCCCATTAGAATGGGAAAGAATGAGATGAATAAAGTCACTGCAATGAAATGATAAGAGATGCTTTTTTAAAAATATTTTGGGCCTGCTTCTTACATGATGAATGATAGAAAAGAGTCAGAAAGTCTTGGACAATCTCATAGCGGGGTCTCTTATCTCATTTTGATGTGACAAGTTTTATTAACGTTGCTCATAGTGTCATGTGCAATAATTCCATTTTTTGATAGTTTGGACTTCTTGAGTGCTATTCTTTAGAGAAGGGTCTTCTGTTTGAAGCCAATCTTGCAGACTCCATTGGACTAACCAGCTGTTTGGGCTTGGTAATTCTCCCTGTTAGTTTCAAGGCAGAAGCTTTGTACGTTTTTATAGGTGTAAGGCGGGAGAAAAGAAATCCCTGTCAAGATCCAGTAATGTTAAAAACCTTCATTTTTCTGTGCCAATGCAATTTGAACAAAAAGATGCTGAAGACAAAAAAACAGAGAAGCAGGTATTAGCAGATTCAAGCTAGATCCCTTTCATATGGCTGTCCAACTTTGGTAACAGGTTTCCAATCTAGCATTAAAAAAGAAAAAAATCTGAATTGAATTTAAAAAATACGTCGGGATAATTGCCAGATCAGCCCCAGGGGTGGGCAGAAGTTGCATTTATTTTATAAATGTTAAGAGATAGCTGAGAGATCCTTTCTATTTTTCTTTAACTCTTGAAAAGTCTGGTGAACATTAAACAGACTGACCTCTTGAGGAAAAGGCTTCCCTTGCATTTCTTGGAACCTTGCATGGATATTCCAGGAAGCATCAGAGAATTCCAGGAAGCATTTGGGAAAAATATATTAAGGGAAAATCATTAGCAAAAATGTACAGATGAGAAGAAATGCTGATAAAAGCGCGTATGTTAAGGGAAATGGTTCATTAAAAGAAGTTTGTATTGTAGAGATATGAGCACAAAAAGGCCTACAAATTTATGTGTGAAGTTATTATTTAAAATTACAAATGGAAGTAGAAATGGGATGAAAGTGATCTGAAGCTGGAAGAATGTAAAACCCAGCCCTAGCTGGGCCATTAAAACATGGATTCTTACAGCAACTTAAAGATTTAATATATGTTATGCTGCAGCTTTTTGAGAAAAAGCACGTTACCTCAGATCTGCATGAAGACCACAGGAACACAATTATAGTCCACCAACAAAACAGGCAGTTTAAGAGATGCTAACAGCAAGAAACTAAAAGAAAATTTGCAAAGAAAAAGAGAAAGGGGGCAAAGTAGGGCCAAAAGGGAAAGAAGGAAGAGAAGGAGGGAGGTAACGTTTGAAATATCAGAAGGTGTGAAGAACTCTGGTTTCATCATGACAAACCAGAATGTGGCTATTAAGAGTCAAATCCATTAAAATAGGTGAGAATATTCTTGGTGACTTTAATGAGAGCCAGATCTCACCTTTGTTGGACAGAAGTGTGCTTTTCATTCAGCCTGGCATTTGCAAGCATCATTAAGATCATTCTTGTATCAGAAACATTGTGTTTAAAATAATTATTTAAAGAAATATGGAAGAGCGATAGGGGGCTGGGGCAGGGGAGAGAATAAATTAGAAATATCTAAATGAGGTGATCCATGCAGAAAAAAGAATAGTTGCTTGAATTGACAGGGGGGTCCACAGGATATCTTCAAAAAGTCAAGACAGTGGCCACAAAGTCAAAGTGCGACACACATAAAAAACAGACAGAGTTTCAGTCACACCATCATGGTTGCCATCTTAACATTTTTCACCATGCCCTGTGGACATCCCTGTGTGTGTGAGTGTTTGTATTGTTATCCATCGGTGTGTTGAGATGGGGAGAAATTATAAAGAAGCCAAAACAGAACTGGGCATTTAGGATATGACTGTTTCATTTTCAAGAATCATTGTCCTTATACTAAGCTCTTCACAAAAGAAAACAAAAAAGCAGGTCATAGATTATTATTCAGTAAAAAGAAAAAGGAAAAAAAAAAACTCTGTTAAGGTTGATCATAAAACACTGTAGAGAAGCAAACAATTAAAGGTAATCCATAACCTTATTATTGGAAAACCTGTGAACATTAACAGTTCTTATTTGGAGAACTCATCTCTCTTTTTGTTTGTGTGTGTAAATACACACATACACACACACACTGACATACGTCCTATACATATAAATGTTTCTTCTCCCAAATGCTAATTTTTTCTGAATTAATCCTGTAATCTTAGTTTATCTTTGATGGAAAGCCTTTGTTTTCTGTCTATTTTTCTTCAACCACCCTATCATCATGTTTGGTTCCCTTAATGTTCATTTATACAAATAATAATTAACCAAACCCCTTGTCAAGGATTGGTATTCCTTCTTTTCTTTGCCAGTGTGCATGCACATTTGTGTGTTTCCAAGGGTTGTTACACCTGACCTTCTTTTCCTTTTCAGGAAGTTGATGGCAATAAAGTGATGTCTTCATTTGCCCCACACAACTCATCTACCTCCCCCTCGAAGGCCGACGAAGGTGGGCGTCAAAGTGGAGAATCATTTTCCAGCACGGTGTTGGGAACTCCTGAACGTCGTAAAGGTAGCCTAGCGGATGTTGTAGACACTCTCAAACAGAGGAAGATGGAGGAGATGATCAAGAATGAGCCTGAAGGTAAGGAGAAATGTTGAGTTTGATACTTCTGATCAACTGAATTCCCCGCGTTCAGGCAGATGAGCCAGCTTATGTCTTTGGTTTTCCCCCTCATATATTACAGATAAAGAACACACAGTGATTGATAATATACAGCCCTCCAGGTGTAGTTAGACAGTAGTTCCCATTTTTCCTTCAGTGTGTCCCAGGGCATTTTGTAGTTGGCCTCTTCCTCCACAGATTCTGGAGATTAGACTATAAAAGGTTCTGAAATTGTTTCCTGTGTAAGAAGATATTTTCTTCCACAGTTCAGGGCCTGCCTGGCTTCAGAGAACACTTGTCCCCATCAGGTTTGCCAAGGTTCCCTTAGTTTTGGGCAGAACTCCATATTTCCTTTCTATTTTTCTTCCCTTTTATTTTATTTCGCACAAGCTCAACTCATCTTGAAACATGACCAGCAACCTCATGGCCAGCATTTTCCTTCCCTATAGCCATGTAAATAATAGGAATTCAACAATATCTGGATTGTCACATGTTGTTTACATTAAAGTGACAAACATAAGTTGCAGTGAGTCTTGGGGGGGGGTGTTCCCCTTTCTCTTCCTTCCTTCTGCATAGTTGTAGGATGATAGCTAAACTTCGGTTTCCATTTTTGATTATCTGAGATAGAATGTATCCCCCAAACCATAAACTGTGGTGACTGTTGGCTGAATTAAGCCCACTTGCTTTTCTGTGGTTTAAATCTGATGTGCTTCAATGAAATCATGAAAACTGACCATAGCTTGTTCATGTTTGGACACCATGATAGACTAGGATTTAATCTAAACTTTTCAAATTTCTCTTCTTGACTGAACTAGAAGAAGTAGAGATGGAAGGTTTTCTGAAGCTTATTCTTATGATGCTAAACCATTATTTAATGTTATATGCAAATTAGCCCATAATCTGAAACGGGGGGAAATAACTGGATGCCCTCCAGAGATTTGGGAGTTCAGCTTCTATCAGCCACAGCTAACATTGTCAGAAGCAAGAAATTGCAAGAACTATCATCCCAAACATTTGGAAGACACTAAATTACTCTCCAGTTTGCCTTTCAAATACTGTACCAAAACAAATGTATCCATAGTCCCTGTACATTACACCCATCGTTCCTTATGATATTAACATACTTCGTTACACTTATGCTCATTGATTTCTTCAGAAGCCACATTCTTCTTTCAACTTTGTAAAAGATTAGCCAAACCATGCCTCTGCTGCTCTAGATTCTCAGGATGGGTTGCGCTGAAATTAGCGAAGCAACTCCGTTTGCAAATGAACTGTACCCTTAGTTTTAAATGCTGCCATCACCATGCACATCTTTGAGTGGGTTAGCAATATCCTAAATTAACAGTTAGATATTTGCCATTCTGCCAAAGCAAAGTGTAATGGTGTCTCTGTATCCATGTGTAAATCAGAGGACTGCCAAATTCTCAGAACCTAAAGTGGTTGTACTCTGGGAGTACAACTAAATGCAATGATGTTGGATCCTGAAGCAGGGGTGACATGGCAGGCAGGCTTTAAATGGTAATCAGGTTTGGACATTTGTAGAGTTTCCTACCTGCTTTTTCCAATTTTACAGTCCAGTAACTTCATACCCTTTTCCTCTAAGACCTGTAAGATGTTTCCCCTTAAGCAGATCCAGAATTGTGAAATGTTAGAGCAGAGGTGGATATTCTTTTGGTGGCTGAAACTGCATGTAACATTTGGGGGGCAGAGTTGTAGAAGCCATGCTGGTGATGCAGAGCAGATGAATCACGTTGCATGTATGAGTTGGGTAGGAATTTTCCCTGGTTTTGGGAAATGGAGTTAATTTTGTTGTGTGTGTGTGTGTGTGTGTGTGTGTGTGTGT